ATTTTACATGAACGTGGATACGTTCACCGTGATTTGCATAGTGGTAATATTTTATGTGCTCCTGCTTTATATATAACTGATTTCGGGAATTGCAAAAAAGTTACAGAGATTACAGATGATGAAGAATTATATGGGGTGATTCCATACGTTGCACCCGAAGTAATACGAACAAATGAATACGTAACAGCTAGCGATATTTATTCTTTTGGGATGATTATGTGGGAAATTTGGAATGGAGAACACCCATTTGCTAATCGTACACACGATGTCGCACTCATCCTTGAAATATGCAATCAATTACGACCTGAAATTCCTGACAGTATGCCAAAATGTTATGCAGAACTAATGATGCGCTGCTGGGATTCGGATCCATCGAAGCGGCCAACGGCAAAAGAAATTCGTAACACAGTTGAAAAATGGAATGAAGAAGAATTTAAAGATATCAGAAGATCAAAAAAGAAGCCTGAAATTAATCAAGGCGCGATATTCACAAGTAGATCTATTACAAAACTGATTAAAACAGCAAGTAAATGTTTGATCTCGTTTATTACATGTAAATGTAATTCATACATCACTAACTCAAATTTTATGTAGACGCATACATCACTAACTCAAATTTTATGTAGACGCCGAAAGTAGATCCATCTATAAAATGATCGACAATAATTAAACGCGATCTAGCACCGTAAATTTACAGTTATGCTAACTCACTCAATTACTATAACGATAATCTTTGTTGTCATTTGGATGTTGATAATCTAAATCCCAGCAAAGAATTCTTCATAATTTCCAATTTATATATCGATATTGACGAAAGATTATCAATAAGCATTAACAGAAAAATTTTTTCCTTCAGAGAATCTAAATTAGATCTTCCGCAAAAATCGATTATTTTAACATTATGACAGGTCTGCAATAGCTGCGATTATTAATTATAATTAATATTAGATTGTATATTTATATTTCCTGCTTTGTTAGTGAAAGATGCTGCATAACCAGAATTTAGAAGCACATTCTATTTATCAGATTCTTTATAGAGTAGTCCACAGAAACAGTCGAGTTTCTTTGAAAGGCTCACATAAAGAAAGAACAGAATCAATTTTTCATCATTAACATATTAAATAATATTTTTTTTCTGTGTTATTGATATTATACGAGAAAGTTTAATTAATAAATGTATGTCAAAAGTTTTTTGTAATTCATTTTCACATAATTCTACCATGGATAATTCCTTAACTTTCCACTCATTCGAGAAAAAATGACATAAACAGATACTTGAGTATACAATAATATATAAAATATTTTCTATAAATAATATCTACGAGATTTCTTATAGAGAAATTCAAAAAATAATGCAGTTTGCTGTCATACAATTTAAATCGGCTGATTTGCCGAGTGTACCCGATTTTTTAGTCCTAGCTATACGTATAAGTGTGGGAACAAAAGACGTTAATAGGAATAATATTCTAATTTTCTTGTTTCACGAGACAAAAAAAAATCTGAAAATGATCTTTAACGGCTGGTTTTAAACATGTGCGTATTGAACTTGAATGCGTAAATTGCATTAACGTTAATCAAATTAAAGTTTAATACATGTATTAGTCATCAACACAACATAAATCAAAACTTTACGTTTGAATTTTAAGATCTACATAAAAAGTCATAATGATAAGGTTGAACAAATGTACGTGCACAAAGTAAGATTACTTCTTGGAAAGTATCACAACACATTCATTACACGAGATAATTCCTTAAAATAATTGCTTGTAATTCGGCCATAAGATAAATACTTTTTAATACAATAATGCAACAAAGATTATTAATTTATCTTTTTCTAGCACTTTAATGAGCAAAAATCTCTATTAAGGGTGGGTTATAAAAACGAATATAATGTGGCGATAATTTGAATACGCACAAGACATTAATATTAGTTAGCTTTTCTACACAATGATAGAGAAGTTATCTTATTGTTAGTATTTCTTTTATTCATATGTTTTGTTATCATTAGTTAATATATGCCTTATTATAGAAATGGTATCAGTATGATAAAATCTTCGGGTATACACGGCTGCTGCGGTATCATACGTAAGACTATCGTACTTGAAAGTTTTTACTTGTGTTCTGCCATGCGCAAGTCAAAACTTGAATTTATGTGGTGCGAAACATAACAATGACCAAAATCATCGATTTTATATTCTATGTCTATGGAATAAAACTCCGTTATTAGTATACACTATCGTTATTTACATTTACGTACTACGACTTAGAATGGCGTAAGTAATTTCCGTAAACCCCTCAACCAGCTGACATTTTTTGCCTGTAAGTGTTTCATCTCCAAATAAATCCCATGTACATGTACTATTAATGAAAGAATATTTTTGGATATATTGAATTTTGTGCATTTTTTATATTAGAAGATATTAGTTGTAAGGAATTTAAATAATTCATTAATGACTGTTGCGTGTTCAACAGACACTGAAAGTAACGCCCTATACTATATAACATATAGAAAACAAGGCTGTACCTATGCACACGTGTATTTGGTTTCATTTATTTCGAATTAATTAAATTTATCGATATGCGAGTCGTATCAGATCGTAAGAAGATACAAATGAAACCATTATTATCGTTATTAAAAGTGTACTACTATTATTCATTGCAGAACGAGAAAATGTTAATCTTTTTATCTTTTTAATAATATTTTATATACAGTGTTATCTTTAAACATTCATTTTAACCATTTCTCGTTTCATGTCATTTTTAAATAACGAAGAAATAAAAATTAATTGTCCGAGTTGTGAAGCGAAGCGGGCAAATGATAAACAAAACTGTGAATATTGTAAACTACGATGGGCAAGTGGTAATAATAAAATTAACGAATTATAAAAATTTTGTCATTATATTAATTATCAAATATAAATAAGCTTTTATTCGCGTAATTTTTTCAAATAACGTAGAAAAGAAGGAGAACTGTCCAAAGTGTCATCAAAAATGGAATGTTCATTATCAGTTTTGTCCTACTTGTGACCTCCCACCATGGAGCAGTGGGAATGATAAAATTGATCAAATTATAAAGGAATCTCAGCTTAAATTTGATAATAAATCCGTTATTGGTTTACTTGAGTGGATTCTTTATGAAGAATTTGAAAATATAAATTCTATTGCTAAAGGAGGTTTTGGCAGCATATCAAAAGCCATATGGAGATCGGGATCCGCTCATTTCGATGAAGAAAAAAGAAAATTCATTAGATCAGGACCAAAACCAGTTGCTTTAAAAAAATTATCCGAATCAAGCGATGCAAATTATGATATTATTCAAGAAGTAAGTAAAATATTGCTGTACTTAATTTATTTAACACTTTGTTTCTTAACTAATTTTTAATGTATACATGATACGTAGATACAATCTGTGATTTTATTTCGATGCAACGTATTCATTGCTAAAATATATGGAATTTCCAGAGATCCGGTGACTGGTGACTATATTCTAGTCTTTTATTATTACGAGAACGGTACGTTGTATAATCGAATCACGCAAGAGGAGAAGATGTCATTTACTTTATTGCAACATGATTTAAAGGAGTTAGCTACAGGATTGGAAATTTTACATGAACGTGGATACGTTCACCGTGATTTGCATAGTGGTAATATTTTATGTGCTCCTGCTTTATATATAACCGATTTCGGGAATTGCAAAAAAGTTGCAGAGATTACAGGTGATGAAGAATTATATGGGGTGATTCCATACGTTGCACCCGAAGTAATACGAACAAATAAATATGTAACAGCTAGCGATATTTATTCTTTTGGGATGATTATGTGGGAAATTTGGAATGGAGAACACCCATTTGCTAACCGTACACACGATGTCGCACTCATCCTTGAAATATGCGATCATGTACGACCTGAAATTCCTGACGGTATGCCAAAATGCTATGCAAAACTAATGATGCGCTGCTGGGATTCGGATCCATCGAAGCGGCCAACGGCAAAAGAAATTCGTAACACAGTTGAAAAATGGAATGAAGAAGAATTTAAAAATATCAGAAGATCAAAAAAGAAGCCTGAAATTAATCAAGGCGCGATATTCACAAGTAGAGCTCTTACACAATACATTAAAACAGCAAGTAAATGCTTGATCTCGGAAATACTGTTTATATTCATTTATTAATTGATACATTAGCTAACTCAAATTTTATGTAGAAGCATACATTTACATGACACGACAAGTTGAATTGTCTTTGTGTATCGATAATGGTCACAAAATCTCTGCGCCACAAATATCGATATGACCAAGCCTTCTCGATCTAACCGGAGTCGATTTAACCGAAACAGATCCATCATTAATTCGGATGGAATAAATGACAAAAACACGCATATATACACATAACCCATTTATTATTAGATTATGGAATGATAACTATATTATTTGGATTATTTGTGAGGCTTACTAGATAACGGCTTTGCAATTTCGTTAAAAAGGGTGGTTATGATTAATGAATTTTGTGAATATCGTTAAAGTTTATGGTATTTATTTAACGTTAATACGTCATGTTAATGTTAAGATAATTATTATATAGCTTTTTAAAATAACGTATTTAATAAAATTACACTTGCTTTACATAAAGCATTAGAAATAATATTTATATAAGAATTAATCCAAAATAAAGCTACCCCCTCATTTTTTTCAAGTGCTATTTCTTGACGATCTTAAAACTTATCAGCACAGTCGTCGAAAAAAAGATAACGTTAATTGTAACATAATCATCTCATTGTTGATCACAAAAAGCACAAGTCTCATAAAGACCATCTCCCAGGCGTTGTTCTAATTAATGCTTGTACATTTACACTATTGTGAATACTTGGTGAACTATTGTGTCTATTGTCCTGAAAATTCTAGTTCGTGAGAATTGTAAGATAATACAGTAGTGGTCATAAGTAACCGACCCCTGCCGTTTCCCAAAATTAATATCAATTTTTTTTTCTTAGAAAGGGTAATACAAACGCTGATCGTTGCTACTATTTTGAGATTTTAAAGAGGCTGACCAACAATCGTATTTTTGTATCCCCATAAATGTCTCTTTCACTACACAAACGATATGAAATAGTTTTTTTGCACCAACATCCAAAAGGACCAAAGTTGGATCTCGAAAAAACAGCTTCCTACATTGGCTGTAGTAAATCTACAGTAGTTTCTTGGATCAAAAAATATCAAGAAAATAAAGACCTAAGCGATCAAAAAAAGTCGGGTCGGGAGCTTAGTACAAGTGTGGCGCAGGATAAAAATATTACAACTTGGACAAAGAACGAATACAATATAACAGCCAATGAAATACAGCAGTGGCTTGAAAGTCAAGGTGCCAAAGTTAGTGAACAAACAGTTAGATAATGTCTTGTTGTATTGGAAGCAAAATATTTGAACAAACTTCAAAAACTATTACTTACTGAGAAGCATAAAAAAAAATAATTAATATGAACAAGACAACATCAAGGCTTTGATTGAAATTGAATTATTTTTACTAATAAAAAGTATCTTTTAATTATATCAATCAAATAGAAAGATCTGGCAATTTATGAAAAGATGAAAAGTATTTCATATGGTCAAGCATTCACAAAAAGTCTGTTTGGGACTATTTTTCATTTCAAGGATTTGATCAACTAATTTTCTTTAAAAGAAATCTCAGTATTAAATATATGTGCACTATTTACAAGAAAGATCTTTTAACTTTCATTAACAAGTTTTTTGGTAATGATAATATAGGCTATCTCTTGCAAAAGTATAACAATCTGAAATATTATTAAAAAATTTACAAGAAATAAAAAGAAGAAAATAATATAAAGATACTTTCTTAATTATTAATATTATCTTATCAAAATCCTATTAAAAATATGTGATGACTTTTAAAAATTAAAATATCAAAAAAATATTTAAATGATTCAAGAATTAAATGAAGAAATAAGAAAAGAATAAAATAAACTTTTAATTAAGCTTGCTATTAATTTGTTTAATAATATAAAAAATAGAATTGTGATATTATTAAAAGTTAATGACAACTATACTATATATTAAAGATCAGAGTTTATTTTATACTTTAAAATAAAAAAAATTTTTTGTTTTATTTTTATTTTTTAAGAAATAATAAAGAGTTAGTTATTTATAATTATTACTATAATTTGATAATAATAATTAAAATAATATATAATATTCAAAATTTTTAATTTTTATAAATATAAAAAAAATTTTAATACTTAAAATTAAATAATATATTATTATTATTCTTATATATAATAATATTATAAACTATATTCTGAAAGATAAGTTTTATCACAAATATAGTTTATAATAAGTTTTGAGAGTGAAGACTGAATTATTTATAAAGATAAAGAGAATTATAATTATTCTAAAG